TTTTTAAAACCTTTTTCAATACTAAGAATTTTTCCTCAGTGCCTCCAAAATTTTTTCAGGTGAGCACTGTTTTGAATGGTATGCTGGATCAGAGCTTCAGGGATCGAGGAATTCAGAAACACCAAGGACAGAAGCTTGTAGCTGCGATTCTGCAAAACTGGAGGGAGTGTGACTCTTGGTGGGCCGCAGATTCTGCTCCAGAAAGTAAAATGGCAGTGCTGGCCTTACTGGCAAAGATTTTACAGGTATTTGGGGAGAAATAGAAAACACATTCATGTTCAGATATGTTGTCTTTTGTTTCTTGTTGTTTTGAGACACATTCTTACTAAGCTTCTCAGGCTTGCCTTGAACTTTAAATCTTTCTCCCTCAGTTCTTGAGTGCTGGGGTTGTAGGTGTGCACTACCACACATGGCATGTTTATTATTTTGTTTTGTTTTTTGGTCTTTTTGAGACAGGGTCTCCCTGTAGCCCCAGCTGGCCTGGAAGTCACTATGTAGACTAGGCTGCCTCCATCTCACAGAGTTCCGCTTGCTTCTGCCTCCAGAGTGTTGGGATTAAAGGCATGCACCACCATACCTATTTTCATTATTTTGAACTCAATAACTTATATTTAACAATTATAGTCCAAGTTCCTTCAAAAACTCATTTGTTTTGATAAATTAAAAATATTTTGGAGAAATATTTGTCAATTACCTGACAGTATTTACTTTTTCTTATTTCATACCATTGTTCATTATAATTATCATTTCATGCTTCTTCTTGCCTGTACATGTTTTCTTTAAGTAGATCGTATTAAAGTTTTTTAGAATAAGATTGTTGAAATTTTTTTTTTTTCTTTTGATCTCTTTGAGACAGGGTCTCCCTGTAGCCCCACCTGTCCTGGAACTCACTATGTAGAACAGGCTGGCCTTGAACTCACAGAGATCCACCAGCCTTTGCCTCCAGAGTGCTGGGATTAAAGGTGTGAGCCACCACGCCCAGTCCAGATTGTTAAAATTTTTATTTATTTATTTATTTTGCATGTGTGTGCATGTGTGTTACAGTGTACATCTGAAGATTGGAGGACAATTTGCAGGAGTTGGTTCTCTCCTTCTACCATGTGGGTCCCGGGAATCAAATTCATGTCATCAGGCTCAGAGGCAAGCACCTTAACTCACTGAGCCATCCCTCCAGACCTTGTTGTTCAAGAACAAATACAGATTTCTGAAATTCAAACATTTGAAAAACTGTTAAAAGAATTTTGAATAATTTAGAAATGTGTCATGCTTTTATCTTCCCTCATTTAGATTGATTCAACTGAATCTTTTAATACGAATCACAGCTCATTTCATGAAATCTTTACAACATATGCTGATCTACTTGCTGATACAAAGATGGGTCTACACTTAAAGGTACATAAATTTAAGGTGTTTTGATTTTTTTGAGATTGCATTCTCTCGTCTTTTTTTTTTTTTTTGTCTTTCTGAAACAGGATCTCCCTGTGTCTCCAACTGGCCTGGAACTCGCTATGTAGACTAGGCTGGCCTCAAACTCACAGAGATCCACCTGCCTCTGCCACCTGAGTACTGGGATTAAAGGCATGTGTTACCTTGCCCAGCCTGCATTGGATTTTATTTTTATATTTTAACATTTTGCATTTTTGTTATATTGGATATTTTTGTCTTTTGGAAACTTTGAAACTTGCAAAAGTAGATTAACATAGTAAACACCCATGTATTATTTATTTACTTATTATTTTTATTTTATGTCTTTGTGTGTTTTTCCTGCATGCATGTTAAGTGCACCTTGTACATGCAGTGCCCACAGAGACCAGAAAAGGAGGTCAGAACTGTAGACACCGATGATTGTTAGCTACCATGTGGGTGCTGGGAACTGAACCCAGGTCCTTTGCAAGCTCAGCCAGTGCTGTTAACCACTGAGCTGTGTCTCCAGGCCTCATCTCTACTGTATGTAGGTGATTTGGTTTCAACAATGCAGCCTCCTGAAAGTGACCCAGGCTTAGTCTGTCTGATTACATGTGTTTCAGTATGTTTCTTCAAGGGAGTAAAGATTCCTTTCTTCTTTTTTCTTTTTTTTGGTCTTTTTGAGACAGGGTGTCCCTGTAGCCCCAGCTGGCCTGGAACTCACTGTGTAGCTGAGGCTGGCCTTGAACTCACAGAGATCTGCCTACCTCTGCCTCCTGAGTGCTGGGATTAAAGGTATGTGTCACCATGCCCGCCTCCTAAAGTTTTAATATTTCTTTTCAAAAATAGTATTTGTTATTTATCTTTTGAAACTTTCTGTTTTGTGCAGAGTAATTTGAACATATCTATTTACCACTACCTCCCTCCAACTGCCCCTAGGGCCCTCACCCTTACTCCTCCCCACTTCATGTCAGTCCATTGACCTCTAGAGTTGAGGCTGTGGTACACAGCTGCATTCAAGTTGTCTTCTAATGTCATTGAGAACTTATTCTGAAATCATATGTTGAGTTCGTGTAGTGTATTACTGGAAGTCTTTAGAAGATAGTAATTTTATTTATTGTGCAGCATCTCTTAGCCATATTAGTGTGATTTCATTTGTCTGCACTGTTTCACAGGGCCAAGCTATCATTATGCTCCCGTTCTTCACCAACCTGACTGGAGACAGTCTAGAAAATCTCAAACATACTCTGGAAAAACTCATCATTTCTAATTTCCCTATGAGATCTAATGAATTTTCCCCTGGAACTCTGAAGTACAATAACTATGTGGACTGCATGAAAAAGGTTAGTTTTTATTAGTATCAAAACATGAATGGATTTTGTTGTATTTCTTTAGTTTAGTTTTTTTTAATTTACTTTAGCTGATACATAAAACATAACTGAGCATACTCCCTTGAACTGGAGTTACAGACAGTTGTTAGCCACCACATGAGTGCTGGGAATTCAACCTGGGTCTTGTGGAAGAGCAGCTAGTGCTCTTAAGTTCTGAGCTATCTCTGTAGTCCCCTCATTTGTCCATTTTTGCTTTTGTTTACCGTGGTTTTGTGGTCTTCAGCATATACACACCCCTTGCCCATTTCATTGTCCAGAACCATTTTACCTATGTTTTCTTCTAGTTTTAGGTCCTACTTTTAAGACTTTAATGCATATTTTAATTAATTTTTGTAACTGGTGAGAATTAGGGATCTAGTTTAATACTTCAGTATGTGAATATACAATTTCCCTGTCACCATTTATTGAAAAGAATGTTACTCTCCAATGTGCATTTTTAGCACTGTTCTTGAAAGTCAGTTGGCTGTGGATTTGGGGGTTTACTTTTAGAATCTGTGTTTTGTTCCATTTGTCATTTTTGTGCTAGTACCAATTTGGTTTTATTACTATAGCTTTCTAGGATGTTTAAGTCGATAATACAATTCTTTCTACTTTCTTCTTTTTGTTCAAGATGGCTTTGACTATTCGTGGTTTCTTGTCATCCTGTATAATCTTTAGAATTGGTTTTTGTTTTTTCAGATAGGGTTTCATGTAGCCTAGGCTGGCCTTGATCTCACTGTGTAGTCAAGGATGACCTTAAATTTCTAACCCTCCTGGTTCCACCTCCTGAGTGCTGGGACTACAGGTATGCACCACCATGCTTGGTTTTATGCAGTTGTGGAGATTGATCCCGGGGCTTCATGCATGATAGGCAAACACTGCACCAACTGAACTACATCCCTAGCCCTCATGTGTTTTCTAGTTCTGTGAAGAGTATTATTGATGTTTTGATAGTTTTTATTGAGTTTCTGGATTACTTTGGGTAATGTGGACCTTTTAATCATATCGTTTCTTCTAATCTATGAACATGGAAGTACTTTAACTTCTTTGTGTCCTTTTCAGTTTCTTTAATCAGCTAGGTATGGTGGTGCACACCTTCAATCCCAGCACTCAGGAGGCAGAGGCAGGCAGTTCTCTGTGAAACCTAGGCCAGCCTGGTCTATATAGTGAGTTCCAGGCCAACTTGGGATAAAGGAAAACCCTGTCTCAAAAAACAAACAGAAAATAATTTTCTTTCATCAATATATTGTCATATTTATTGTAGAGATCTTCCACCTCTTTTGTTAAATTTATCCCTAGGCATTTTATTTTATTGTAGCTATGTAAATGGGATTGCTTTCTTGATTTCTACTTCAGATAATACACTCTTGGCACATAGCAGTGCTGCAAATTTTGTATGTTGATTTTATATTCTATAACTGCTGAATTAATTTCTTAGTTTTAAAAATTGCTTTGGTTGAGTCTTTCAGGGTTTCCCTGTGTAAAGTCATGTCATTTACAAATGTGGCAGATTGAGCTCTTCTTGTCCAGTCTGAATGCCCCCTTTTCCTTTCTCTTGCATGATTGCTATAGCTAGGACTTAAGAAACTGTGTTGCTTAAGAGCTGAAAGTGGGCATGTCTTGTGTTATGGTTTGAATGCGAAATGTCTCACATAGGCTTATGTGTTGGTGGTGCTGTTTTGGGAGACCATAGAGCCTTTGGGAGGTGGGCCCAACTGGAGGACTTAGGTAGCTAGGAGGTCAGCCTTTTAAGTTATAGCCTGATTCCAGTTTCAGGTGGATCTGTTTCCTGTCTGTCCACTGCTCTTGCTGCCCTTCCTTTATTGCCATACTGAACTCTGTCCCTTCAACTATGAGCCATAGTCAATACCGAAGTTGCTTCCTTGAGGTATTTTATCACAGTAATGAGAAATGTGACATAGAACATTTTCAGCTCTTGCCCTTTCAATGTAATATTAACTGTTGGCTTATGATAATGCATCTTCATTATGTTGAGGTAAATTCCTTCTATTCTTCATTCATTTGGAGCTTTTAATGATGAGGTATTGAATTGTCACATGCCTTTTCTGCATCTGTAGAGATGACCATATGGTTTTCTTTTTATCTTCTCTTTTGATATAGTATCTTACATTTATTGTTTTGCATAAATTGAACCACCCTTTCATTCCTGACATGAATACTACTGGATTATGGTGAATCATTTCTTTTATGTACTGTTGGGGGACATTTGCTGGTATTTCTTTGAAGGTTTTTGTGTCTATGTTTAGGAAAGATATTGACCCAATTTTTGTTATATTTCTTGATGAAGTGAGTGAACTATCCAGAATCAGAGTTCTCTAACCCAGTACAGTTCTTTGAACCACATACATAATCAAATCCTTTGCAATTCATTTAAATTCAGATTTACTGCTGGAAGGTGCACACGCGGCTTCCAGGCCCCCTTCGCCCACTGTTCTTATGACAAACCGAGATAATATTCCTCCAAACTGCAGTTTAGGGAACCAAAGGATTTATTGGGCTTGCTAACATAGCATAGGGTGATGGGGTGGGGGAGTTACTTACAAAGATGTGGGCACCTTTGGTCTTTTTTCCCTACATCCTGGCTATAGCTTCCTGACCTGCTGCTGGCGGTCCAAGATGGCAAAGACCATCCCCTCTCTCTGGCTTCTCCTGTCCCTATCATTAGTCCCTCCTCCTCACGCATTTAAGGTTGACTGATTGGGTGAGAGGGGTGTCTGACTCCCTCTGCTCCTCCCTTTCTATGGAGGGTCAGGTAGACCCTGAGTCTGCCTCCTGGCTGTAGCCGTATCTGTTGTCTCTCCATTGACACACCTAGCTGCTGGGGGGGGGGGCCCTGCCTGGGGAAATTGCCTCCACCCCTAGAAGAGAAATGTACCTTGTTTAATCTTTGGAGGTTCTTATCCACTCCTGGGACAGTTTTTATCTTCCGCATGCCTTTTGTGTACTGTTCCTCAGGTTTTAAAGCCTTCCAGAAGTTCCTTAGTACAGAATTTGATTTTTTTGTCAATTTTTTCTTTAGGAACTTGGGCTAGACATAAGTGTTGCCTTCGAGTAACTCAAATGGACCTCTTTTTCTGTTTTGTCCTTTTTATATTGCTTTTAGATTGCTCTCCTATTCTACAGACATGTTTCACGTGCTGGTTTAGGTCATTCAGATCTTTCAAAGCCTCCCCTACTTTACAAAGGTTCTGCCCCACTAAAGGACTTAGCAAAACCATTAGCACTCCATACCTATCTCAAGGACCCTATTGAATCAAGTTTTTCTTTAAATATGTGGTGAACACAGTCATATCTGGCCCAGTGAACTGGGCATCATACATTGCTTTCCTTATCCTAGTTCCCTCAGTAATGCCTGTCCGTCTTCTATGGTCCTCCAGCCCCTGATACTCATGGGAACCGCCATACACATGTTGCGGCCTCCACCGCTTAAGCAGGCATGCTGTTTTACACCATTTACAAGATGGCTGCCATCCCGAGATTTTCCCCCCTGATCTCATCTGCTTAGGTGGCTTCACCCTAGTTACACATCTCACTGTCCACTGCATTATCCATGCCACTGCCACTACCCCCAGAAAGCTTATGGGGATAGCCCACCATGTCAACATTTCTTCTGCCCACACTCTCCCCTAACCCAGCTTTCCCATATTAGAGACATCATCATTACTCTTCCCAAACTCCTCCTTGGTTTTGTCATATCCTGCCAACACCAATTATTTACTGCTGGGAGGTGTACCTGCATCCAGGCACAGGAGCGGTCTCCTCCTCTCACTGTCCTTACTTAAGACAAACCGAGATAATATCCCTCCAAACTACAGTTTAGAGAACAAAAGGATTTATTGGGCTTGCTAACACAGCATAGGGTGGTGGTGAGGGGGTTACTTACAAAGGTGTCATCACCCTTGGGCTGCCGGTGGTCCAAGATGGCAAAGATCATCCCCTCTCTCTGGCTTCTCCTGTCCCTATCCTTAGTTCCCTCTTGCAGTTAAAGCTGACTGATTGGGTGGGAGGGGTGACTCCCTCTGCCCCTCCCCTCCAATTAGTTTGAGGTAATTGAAGGAAGCAGGTGAGACCCTAGAGAAGAAGGCATCTGTCCATTGTTTGCCACACAGAGGACAAGCTCAACCAACAGTTTTTGTGTCTATGTTTATAAAGGCTATTGACCCAATTTTTGTTCCATTTCTTGATGAAGTGAGTAGAAGACCCAGAATCAGAGTTCTCTAACATAGTACGATTCTTTGAAGCACCTATGTAATCAAATCCTTTGCAATTCATTTCTACCCCATTTTCTTTTTCTTTTTTTCTTTGGTCTTTGAGACAGGGTCTCCCTGTAGCCCCAGCTGTCTTGGAACTATGTAGACCAGGCTGGCCTTGAACTCACAGAGATCTGCCTGCCTCTGCCTCCTGAGTGCTGGGCTTAAAGGCGTGCACCACCATGCCCGGCAAAAGGAAGTGGTCTTAATTCTATGGTGGGGGGGGTAGTGTTCCCATTTAGGTCTGATAAATTATGCTTCATACCATTATAAAAGGCCTTGTATCAAACCATGACATTTCCATAGTCATTGCAGTTCTCTGAGCTTATTGTTTGCATGGTGTATTTTTCCACCCTGTGCTGGATAGCTTTACTTGTGAACTTGACACACCTGGGTAGAGGGAGCCACAACTGGTAAACTGCTCCCATTGGACTGGCCTTTGGCCAAGTTGGTGGGGCATTTTCTTAATTATTGAGTGATGTGGGAGGGTGCATCCTACTGTGGGAGGTGCCACCACTGAGCAGGTGGTCCTGTGTTGTATAAGAAAGCAGGTGGAGCAGGAGCCAGGGGAGCAAGCCAGTAGGCAGCGTTCCTCCACGGCCTGTGCTCCAGCTCGTGGAACTTTATGAACACCAAGTAAATGGCAAAGGGCAGAATGAAAAGGTAGATAGCATCTCTAAGACAAGGAGTTAAGTGCAACTG